AAAGTGGACTTAAAGGCAAAGCTTTCGAGTCTACCCCTACTGTTGCCCCGATCCTTGCTATAGGACATGGAAAAGGGAAAAATAGGAAAGCTCCCTCTAAGAGCCACAAAGGAAAGTCCCATGATGGATCTACTTCAAATGGATCCAAAGGTAAAGCCGGTTCTACCACTCCCTCATCTGATCCTAAAGAAGCAACGTGCTTCTACTGTCACGAGAAGGGGCATTGGAAACAAAGTTGCCCGAAATACTTGCAGAACATCAAGGATGGAAAGATAAAGCCATCCTTTGTAGATATTTATACTATTCAATCTAATAACTCATTACATGCTAGTTCTTGGGTCCTTGATACATGATGTGGTTTTCACATTTGTTCTGCTTTGTAGGGGCTAAGAAGAAGTAGGGATGTGGAGCATGGGAAGATGAACCTGATAATGGGGAATAGGAAATCGCCGCCTGTCACTAAGATCGGGATTTACTCTTTAGTGCTTAGTAGTGGTTAGGATTAGAATTAAATGATTGTTTCTACTCGTCAAAGATGACGAAGAATATTATTTCTTTTCAGGGTTTGTACAGACAAGGTTTTATATTTTTATTTAATAATGAAGTTGGTTCTATTAATGCTTTTTATAATGGTACTTTATATTTTGAAGCATTGCCTTGTAATGGAGTATATGAAACTGTGATGGTTGTAGACAACTTAGGAAATAATGTGTTGCATATTGATTCATCTAATGGTTTAGATAAGGCATGCTTGTGGCATTGTCGTCTTGGACATGTTAACAAGAAACGTATAGCACAACTCCAAAAGGATGGATTCTTGGAGTCATTTGACCTAAAGTCAGATGACACATGCGAATCTTGTTTACTTGGAAAGATGACTAAATCACCTTTCACTGGTACTTGTGAAAGAGGTGAGGGATTTTTGGATCTCACACACACAAATGTGTGTGGGCCCATCAGATCCACCACAAGGGATGCTAATCGCTTCTATGTGACTTTTACCGATGATTATAGCAGATATGGATATATTTACTTTATCAAGCACAAGTCGGAAACCTTTGAAAAGTTCAAAGAGTTTAAGAAAGAAGTGGAGAATCAATTGGGCAGGAAGATAAAGATGCTCAGATCCGATAGGGGTGGTGAGTATCTTAGTATCGAGTTCCACGACTACGTTTAAGAATGTGGAATTGTTTCACAATTGACGCCACCTAGGACACCGTAGCTCAATGGTGTATCTGAGAGGTGCAATCGAACCTTGTTGGATATGGTTCGTTCCATGATGAGTCAAGCTTCGTTACCTATCTCATTTTGGGGGTATGCCTTAGAGACTACCGCCAATATCCTTAATCTAGTCCCAACTAAGAAGGTTGCCAAAAAACCTCACGAGATGTGGACATGGAAGGTTCCCTCGTTGGCACATATCAAGGTTTGGGGTTGCGAGACTTTCGTAAGACGAGAGACTCACGACAAGCTTGAACCTCACAGTGAGCGGTGTATTTTCATCGGTTACCCACATAAATCTTTTGGTATCTTTTCTACAGACCTAGTGACAACGTGGTCTTCGTAGCAAAGATCCCCCTTATGTTTCCACACTTTGGATTTCTTTGACTCTGATGATTTTGATACTTTCTATTGTGCTTGACTTTGAGACATATGATGTATGGAATTAATGATTTTAAAAATGAAAAATTACATCACTGTTTTAGGTTGTTACATAGAAGTGCCAAGCATTAACCCAATAATCAAGTGACAAAAGTGTAGTGTTCTTCAAGTTCTTCAAACCTTCAAAGTACATAGAAAATGCTATAAAATTCGGTCCAAGAGTTACCAAAAGTGAGCCACCAACATTCCTCAAATAATAGCAATATACAAAATACCGACATTACCCTTGCACAAGCCACGCTGGGCACATGCACCCATGCGGGTAAGACACGTGCTGATCAAGCTTGGGTCATTTTGCTTTTTTGTGCCTGCACTACATTAGTCCACTAGCCCAATTTTTCTCCAACATATTATAGCCCACGACTCTTCAAGATTTCTTCAAATTCGATTGAATTCACATCCTCTTAATCATCTACCGTTTGAATACCTGCTCGATCAATCAAATCCGTAAACTCAAATATTGCTTCCATATTCTTTTAAGTCCAAGGACCATATTTCTTCAATTTTCCATTCATCAACTAGCCCATTTTTGTATCATCTCCAAAAGAGTCATCAAGCCCATGATTCCACAATCCTCAAGTCCAATTTGATTCTCGCAATCCCTGAACATCTACGCTCCATGCTAGTCTTTTAAAATTATTAAATTATACACAAAGACTAGAAAGTTTCCAATATAGACAAAAAAATAAGAAAAGAAAAAATATGCATGATGGTTAACTAAAAATGAAATAAAATATGCTAAAATAAACTATAAAAATAAATAAATAAAATGAACATATCAGCCAAGGACCTGCTTCGATTCCTATTTTTGGAACAGTTACTCGCTAGGTACACATCGAGTTTGTCTTTGGAACCACAATATTTTCTTAAAATTAGTATATATATATATATATATATATATATATATATATATATATATATATATATATATATATATATTGGAATTTGAAAATAATTTTTAGTAAAAGCATCTTCAATGGTAAATTATTGAAAAAAGTTTTTTAGTATTTCAATAAGCTTTTCAATAACCTTTAAACATCTCCGACGGTAGTTTTTTTATAAAACCTTTTACTATTTTGAAATTTTTTTTTTTTTGATACATTTTAGGCTTTTTAATGAAAAAAGATTGGGAAACGGGAATTCTATTCGATTTTTGAATGAAATTTAGGTGGGTCAAGAACCACTTAAAAATCATTTTAATAGGATGTATCATCTTGATGGTAATCCAGATTGTAAGGTAGTGGAGAGGTGGAATGATGGTCAATGGATGTAGCAACGGAGGAGGCCAATACATGGTGGATGTGAGAAAGAACAACTTGAATTGTTGCTGACTTTGCTGCATTGTGTGGATGTTAACGACTCCCCTGATCGGATATGGTGTGGGTTGGATGCTTTGGGTGAGTTCACAGTAAATCAAACGAGAAGACACGTAGATAATGTTTTACTATTGGTTCATTCTCGAGCTACTAAAGTATTACCTAAAAAATGTAAGGATTTTTGGTTGTCGTCTTGCTTTTGATCAACTGCCTACTTAGTTCAATCTTTCAAAAAAAAAAGGTTTGAATTTAATAGTACATTGTGTCCGTCTTGCGGGGCTGGGGTGAATTGACGGAACATCTCTTTTTTCTGTTTAAAGTAGTTGTGGCGGTTTGCTCCTTGGTAGCAAAATGGTGTGATTAATTTAACCTTCCCTACGTATATATCGATCACAGAGTGGATGTCATGGGTGGCAATGGTTGGTGATATCAAAACGTATATTTAAACGTATATGAAAATTTAAACATCTTCAACATCTTAGTTACCTTTTAGAGTTTGTCCATATTGGTCCATACATTTAATAATATTTTATTTTTTATTCTATTTTTATTTGGATCTTAGATGTCTTTTATTTTTCATTAGTCGGTTTAACGAAATAAACAAAATAAAAATAAATATATTTTAGAAATGATTATATCATTTAAAAGTAATTGTTAAAATTTCAGAATTGAACTATGATGTAGGAACACCAGCACCCATCAATGGTAACGTACTTCAAAACCTTAGAGAGGAATAACAACAAGCTTTGAAATTTAAGCATTGTGGATTGCGACTGAAGGCGTAAGTAACAATAAAATTGAGCTTTTAAGACCCGCTAAGTAATTTCATTTCACTATGAACAGAAACAAACGCATGCATGAGACAGACCCAATTAACACCACACCCATGTTTCCACATGAGTAACACACACACCCAATCAAAATTACGCCATCTGAACTCGACCCCCAACCCACCAGTCAATAGAAATTAAACTAAACTAATTAACACCATGTTTGAGATGTGAAACACATCTTGTAGAAACTGGAGAATGTGAAACACATGTTGTAGATATCAGTATTGATGAAGATGGCTCTAACAGAAGGGAACAAAATGATTCGTAAGTAAGGAATGGCGAATGAGGAATGAGTTTAATTGAAGGTTTTTTGTCCAATAAAGATAGCGAACAAAATGACCAAAAGTTAGAATTATTATTGCTATTGGTTTTGTACTTTTTATTCTATTTAATGCACATCAAGTAAGGAATATGTTTCATTAAAGGTATTTTAGCTATTTGAAAAGCACTTCAATATACTTACTTTTTAAATAAGTAATTCACAGGAATAGATTAACTAAAGGTTTTAATTTGCCAAATAAATTAATGTATCGAAGTAGGCCATATTGTTTTTAGGTTAAACAAAGAGTACCTTCGATGAGTAATTAAGGTTTTAATTTCTAGAAAGGAATGTGTTTACAAGAGTAATCGAAGGCTTTAACTTAAAATAAATTAAAAATTAAAAATAAATAAATAAATAAATAAATAAAAACTATGATTAGTTTTACGCTTAATGTTAGGTAACAAACTCATATTCACTTTATGTGTGTCCGTAGCCACGGTCTACATTTACTGTAAGACACACGTTACAAAATCACATCTGTCAGATTTTGCCACATGAAATCACAACCATTTATATTACCTGTTTTAAATTATAAAATAGTTTTAATTTTAATTGCCAGATTTTAGCATACCGGGTGTTGGCAGTTTTACTGTACAGGAGAGGATATCAGTTAATGTTACTTCTATAATTCGCCTATACTATGACACTAAAGTCTTAAAATTTCCACACAACTGAAGAACAGGTATTACAAGAGTTAAACTACTGGTCACAATAAAGAAGCAATTCACGAAGAAGGTAACCCCATTATTATGAGGTGTTGTATCTTATTAATGTGTTTTTCTTTAACCACATTTACACTATATATTATCATGTAAATTTTTGTCTAACTGATCCATAACTACAGAGGAAATTAAGCTAGCAGTCTGAATGGAAAATGCCGATATTGAGTTAGAAGGAAAAGATATCATTGGGCATACTGTCAAATTTCTAGTTGATTGTAAAGAAAATGGAGAGATTTTGGACAATCAAGTTCCACCATCAATTTACATTGTTCCTAGTGCGTTCCGAGATCTCAGCCCAAGTTCTTTTAATCCTAGGGTGGTCTCTATTGGACCTCTTCACAAACAAGATGAACATTTGAAAGGATTTGAAGTTCAAAAAAAGACTTATTTACATAATTTATTACAACGCTGTGTTCCAAAGCAAACTTTGCAAGATGAACATAGTGTTGCAATTAAGCAAATGCTGCAAGAATGTGCAGAGAAGGTGACTCGTTCAATACAAAGAATCAAGGCCTCTTATGGAGGATTGACAACCTGTAGCGATTTTGAGCTTGCTGAGATGATGGTAATAGATGGCTGTTTCATACTTGAGTTCGGTGCGCGTCTTTTAGAGTTATCATCTAAGAGTAACAAGTTGATTACTCAATCGATAATGTTTGACTTGATGCTGATAGAAAACCAAATCCCGTTTTTTGTTCTTGAAAACATCTTTGAGTGTACTCTTTTGAAATCCATCCCACATGCCTCTCTTACCACATATATCCAAGAAATTCTAAAATATTATTCCTACATCTTTGTAGGAAATCTTGTAGTACCCAATGTCACCCCAGATTCCACTCATGATCATCTTCTTGGCTTATTACACAAAAATTACCAGCCTTCGAAACCCATACCATCAATGTTTTTACCAGATCCAAAAGGGCACTCGGCCATGGATTTGTATAGGGCAGGGATAAACTTCAAGCCTAATGAAGATCAAGATTGGGGACTGGCCATGAAACTAGAAGTGCCCTCACCTTTGTTTTCATGGATTCCAATTTTTATGGCCATTCCCCAAATTCCATGGCTCCAATGGCCTACTCTGAAGATGCCAATAATGCGTATAAATGATTCGACTGAATTGATTTTAAGGAACCTCATTATATATGAGCAGTTTTCTAATGTTGGGAAATATATTACATCATATGTCTGTGCCATGGATTTGCTAATCGATACTCCACAGGATGTTGCCCGTTTGGTAAAATCTAAAGTTCTTATCAATCATTTAGGTTCGAATGACCATGCTGCAAATATGATAAACAACATTTGCAAAGAAGTTCTACTCTTAGAATTTGTTTACCATGAACAGTGGAAAGATTTGGATGCCTACTACAATAGATACTGGCCCTATACTATTTCAGGGTTGAGGCGTACGTACTTCAAGAATCCCTGGAATATCATTGCTCTAATTGCTGCATTCGTCCTGTTTGCTCTTACCGTGGTTCAGACCATCTTTACTGTCAACCCCAAATAATCCAACAATTACATTTTCAGTGCTTTTTCATCTTTTGGTTGTTCACGCTTTTACTTGTACTTATTTATTTTTCTGTAATAAGTCTCCCATATTCAACATGCGTAAGTTTGATATATGTAAGAAATTACGCTGCTGACATTCATTACTTTATTTTGAAACTTTTGTTCCCTCGATTGAGAAATTATTAACGATAAACCTACAACTAAATAAACTTATCCCTACCTAGCTTATAGGATCTTGTTGTAATATAAATTCATATCTTGTAATCTTGTATATCATGGGAGATTGATTTGATTAAATCCTTATATGGTATCAGCCTTTCTACGATCTTTCTAGCCGGCCCTACTCAGTTTTTCTCGATCTTCATCATGTCACCTGCCTCATCTTCTGCCGATGGTACCCTCTCCCTCAACACCATTCTGCATCCGTTGACTATCAAGCTATCTTCTTCCAATTACCTACCATTGAAGAATCAAATCATTCCTCTCCTCAATTATCAAAATCTTCTCAGTCACGTTATTGGTTCTACACTGGCTCCCTCCGCACCATCATTGTTGAAGACAAGTCCTTCACTGTTTGGGAAGAAGCTGATCAACGAGCCATCCTAATTCTTCAAGCATCACTTACCGAAGAAGCTATGGCAGAGATCCTTGTACTACATACCGCTCGAGATGTATGGACCACTCCTGAAGCTGCATACAGTCACAATTATGTTGAACGAATGCAAAATCTCTGGGATTCCCATTGCCAATTAGAAAAAGGTTCATCTTCTATCTCTTATGCTCGAAAAATTAAAACTTTATGCGATTAGCTTGCAACCATTGGCCAACCAATGGAAGAAATTGATAAAAGCCACTGGTTCCTATGTCGTCTTGGCCCCTCCTAAGAAACTTTCTCCCCAACACAAAGGGTTGGCAAACCACGACCATCCTTTTGTGACCTTCTTTCTCTAGCTGAAATTCATGAGTTATTTTTAAAATATGTTCATAGGTCTACTACTTCCTTGTTACATTCACTGCTTAGCCATCTCGCTGTCAAACAGAGGTTCTTACCGTGGTGATCAAGGTGGTCGCTCTGGACTCAATGTCTAGACCTCACCACCTTTGCTCACCGAGGATCCTCCATTGATGCTAATCTCGCCCATGCTTTTCATGCCAAGTGTAACACCAACGACACTTCCTCATATTGGTATGTCGACTCTGGCACTTCTGCACACATGACACCATTGGCTTCTACTTTAACCTCCTCCGCTCCATAAAAAGGAAATGAGCATGTCGCCTTTGGCAATGGTAATATTCTAAACATCACTCGTATTGGTAATGCATCTCTCATTAGAGATATTGATTTGGCAGATTTTATTGTTCTAACAAAATTAACAAACAAATTCTTGTTGGTGATTTTAGTGTCATCAGGTCATTTTAAGTAACTGGAACTAACATGTGAACTAAGGGCTTCATAATTTGTACTCTAATAAATGTACGGGGTTGTGCGGAGTGCACGCATGTATAAGATCAAATTAAAAGCCGGTTCGACGACTAGTCGGGGGGTCCGGGGGCATCGCCCCTGGGTCCGGGGTTTCTAAAGGGGCAGCGCCCCTTTGGCGGGGTCTAGGGGCAGTGCCCCTAGCGGGGTCCAAGGGGCAGAGCCCCAAAACCTCACCAAATTTTACATATGAGAACATAGTGGAAAATTCAATTTCTTGAGGGTGATTATGGTAAAACTAACGAAACTCGTTAGTTTTGGTAACCCTAAATCCTCATTAAATTCGGATTATCATGACTTGCTTCCAAAGCAACTAATGACGGCCCAACCCTAATGAAACCATAATCTCGTTTAATATATAAACAGTTCTTCCTCTTCAGAAGAGGGTTACGATCTGAAGCTCTCGTTTTTCATCATACTTTCACATAATCCTCTAGCATATTGGCTTACGATTTCTGTGCCAAGAATTGTAAGTGTCCACTTGGATTATCCTAGGCTGAATTTCTTGTAACCCATGCATAGGGTAGAAATATCATTTCGGAAAGTGATATCACGATCCAAGTTGGTATCCAGATCTCCACCACAAACCCTAAATTTCCCTACAATTCTCTCCATTAGCAAGTTAACATCTGATTCACCGCTTCATGTTTTATTCTCTAATCACAAATTTGCTATTTAGAAACGACTAACCAAGGATGTGCTAACAACAAGCAGGGTTGAAAATGGTCTCTATATGCTCGAGCATGGTTATAAGGCGTTAGTTGCTCAACTAAATTGAAACAGGTTGTGTGCATCATATGCGCTCTGGCATAATCATTTAGTACATGTGTCATTTTCTAGTATTTCATTACTACACAAACTTGGCTATTTGTTTGTTACTGTTATTTTATGGGATTTGCTCCTCCTATGAGCTTGCTAAAAGTCATAAATTACCCTTCTTTATTAACGAAAAACAATATTTGCATGTTCTAGATATGATTCGCTGTAATTTAAGGGGACCTGCACCCGTCTTATCCACTGATGGTTATGCTTACTATGTTATATTTGTTGATGACTTTTCTCGTTTTACTTGGTTTTGTCCATTGAAAAGAAAATCAGATTTTGCCACAATTCTCAAAACGTTCTTGTTCTTTGTACAAACATAATTCTCTTGCAAGGTGAAAGTATTTCAAAGCGATGGTGGTACAAAATTTTTAAATGGTCACGTTAAAAGCTTGTTTGCTGAAAATGGTACTCATCACCATATTATGTGTCCTTATACGCCTGAGCAAAATAGGGGTGTTGAGCACAAACAATGACACATTACTGAAAGTGGCTTAGCCATGCTTTTCAATGCAATTGCTCCAGCCTCGTTTTGGGTTGATGCTTTTCAATCGGCTGTATACACCATTAACAAGCTACCTACAACTATTTTAGCAGACAAGTCTCCATTTGAGCATTTGTTCCACAATCAACCGAATTCAATGTCTTTCGTACCATTGGGTGTCAGTTTTTTTCCTTATTTAAGGAATTATTCGGATCATTAACTTGCTCCTCGTAGTGTTTCATGTGCTTTTCTTGGGTATTACACTCATTTCAAAGGGTATTGATGTCTCCATATGACTACATCTTGCATTTGTAACACCATATATGCAAAGTTTGATGAGAACACATTCCTATTCATAGGTTAAACTCCACCAGTTGATCTCACTAAACATTTATTTTCAAACTTTGAAGAAACTAGTGTGACACTGCCGACCCAATCAAAGTCTAGTGTCCCACTCTCACTGAATGTTCCACAACATCACCTTTTACGAGCTCAAGCATGTTGTGTTCCGATACTCCTCCCATTGGCACCACCTTATCAAACATCACTAATGCACCCATGAATAAACTACCATCATTGCCTTCCGCCAATACACCGCCACCAGCAAATACAAACCTGCCTTCCAACGGCCATCTGATGAGAACACGTGCTAAAGCATGAATATTTAGGCCTCTACGATTTCCAGGTTTAGCTGTTCTCGCCTCCAATAGTTTATACACAACTCTTATTGTTCACAAAGATCCCAAAGGGTTCAAAACTGCAGCTAAACATTCCAAGTGGCTTGATGCCATGCACGCTGAATCGAAGCCCTACACAACAACCAAACTTGGGACTTAGTTCCTCAACCATTGGCATCAAATATGTTTAGCTCCAAATGGGTTTTCACACTAAGTATCGATCCAATGGTTCAATCGACGGTTACAAAATCCCGGTTAGTGGCTCAAGGCTTCACTCAAATTCCTGGACTAGATTACTCTCACACCTTTAGTCATATGGTTAAAGCCTTCACTATTCGTCTCAATCTCTCACTTGATGTTCATCAAAACCAGGCATTGCATCAACTAGAAATAAACAATGTGTTATTAAATGGACATCTCAATGAGAACGTCTTTATGGAGCAGCCACCCGAATTCATTGATGCTCATTAACCAATTCATGTATGTCGACTAAAAAATGAACTTTATGGTTTAAAGCAAGCTCCAAGAGCTTGGTTTCAACAACTAAGTTATTTTCTGTTAAAACTCGGTTTCACTTGTAGTAGAGCCGATCCATCATTGTTCATGTACAAACATCATACATGCATCTTATACCTCCTTGGTTATGTTGATGACATAATACTGACAGGTAACAACAATGAAGCTCCTGCCAAGTTTATTTCAAGATTGCATCAAGAATTTTCCATCAAAGACCTTGGAAAACTAAGTTACTTTCTTAGACTTGAGGTTCTTTATACTTCTGATAGTTTGTTTCTTACTCAAATCAAATACGCTTTGGAAATTTTTTCTCGTGCATGTTTACTAGACAACAAACCCGTTTTTACACCTCTTACCACATCTGCCCAACTTACTAGTTATGTTGAACCGTTCTCTGATCCACTCTCTATCGTTATTTAATAGGAGCTTTCTAGTATCTTACTATTACACGCCCTGACTTGTCATATACAGTAAATCAAGTGAGTTAGTTATTGAATGCACCTACCACCTCTCATTTTCAAGCTGTGAAACAAATTCTTCGTTATGTTACAGGAACTATTTCCTATGGTCTCACCTATCGTCACTCCACAAACATCCCGCTTGTTGCATATTTCGATGTTCATTGGGCTAGGTGTATTGACACAAATTGATCTACATATGGCTACTCAATATTTCTTGGTGGCAATATTATCTCTTGGAGTGCCAAAAAGCAACCCACAATGTCTTGTTCTAGTTGTGAGTCAGAATATAGAATGATGGAAAACATGGCTTCTGATATTGTTTGGCTTACTCATTTGTTACATGAGCTTCACATTCCCATCTCTATCACAACTTATTTGTATTCTGACAATAAAAGTGCCATCTTCCTGAGCCAAAGTCCATTTTCTCACAAACGAGCCAAGCATATTGATATGGACTATCATTTTGTTAGACATGACGTTTACTCACTCGGTTGATTCCAACAACTCAAATGGTGGCAAATATTTTCACCAAGAGTCTCCCGCATCCATTATTTGAAA